TAGGGTTTAGGGTTTAGGGTTTAGGGTTTAGGGTTTAGGGTTTAGGGCTTCGGGTTTAAGGGAGCCTTGGAACCTTGCTTTGGGCAGTGCTTTTCTCGACAGGTGCCAGGTCGCTCTCAGAATCAGAGGCGCCGGGGTCAAAATCCGACTTTCGCTGAGGAAACATCAACGTCAGCGAACCCAAAACATCGAAAGCAGCATCACAATGATCCCAAACTCTATACCCTAAACATCCCCTGAAACATAACTCAAAACCCCCAAGTTGGTGCTCTGCAGCTCTACAACGCCACAGCGAGCACCCTGAACCCACACCGAAGAACCCTAAACCCTAGATTACAAACTTTAGGCCTATTGGTATGAGACCAAAAACTCCAAACTAACCCCCCCCCATCCACTGACAAGCCCGAACAGAAGTTCCACAAAACTTAGAAAGAAACAACATTCCACCAAAACAAGGTTTAGGGTTTAGGGTTTAGGGTTTAGGGTTTAGGGTTTAGGGTTTAGGGTTTAGGGTTTAGGGTTTAGGGTTTAGGAGTCAATTCCAACAAGCTTCGGCCCAATGGCTCCCAAACCCCTTTTGGGGGACCCTACCCAGAGGCTCCATTGTAGCTCCTTGTTGGGATTACCTTATAGGATCCTACATAACATGAATCAAAAAATCAACTACAACGGAGCCTATAGGTAAACCTTAGAAATACGAAACCTTACCCCCCAAAACCCTAAACGCTAAACCCTGAGCCCTAAACCCTAAACCCTGAACCCAAAACCTATAACCCTAAACCCTAGACCCTCCAACCCCTAAGCCCTATAACCCCTAAACCCTATAGACCCGAACCTTACCGGAAGCTTCCCAAAGGTTGGCCAACCTGTGAGGATGGGCGGCAGCTGGCCACAGGAGTCGTCCAGGACGCAGGCCACGTGGACCTTAGGGTTTCTATGGGAGTTTAGGGTTTTGTTTTTTAGGGTTTAGGGTTTAGGGTTTATATGGGAGTTTAGGGTTTAGGGTTTAGTTGGGAGTTTAGGGTTTAGTTTTTTAGGGTTTAGGGTTTAGGGGTTTATTAGGGTTTAGGGTTTAGGGTTTAGGGTTTACGGCTTGAGGGATTGAAGGGATTGTATATTTAGTAGAAGCCCAAAAGTTGGAAACCCAACAGCCTCAATCCTTAAGAGTAAAGCACAGGGAATCCCAGCACTAGTTGTCCTTCAGGCGGTTTCCAACTTTTTTGGGGGTTACTGTGGGAGTTTAGGGTTCAAGGGTTGAGGGCTGAGGGGTTTATATGGTATAGAGTTTTGGGTTCAGGGTGTAGAATTTGGTGGTTTGAGAGTTGCGGGTTGATGCGTTTAGGGGGTGTTGAGTTTAGGGTTCATTGGGCGTTTAGGGCGTTTTGGGTGTGCAGGGTTTTGGCGTCACAGCTTCTCGGGCCACGTGGACCTTGAAACCCCAACCCTCCAACCCCACACGAAAACACAACTAATGTAGGGGCCTTGATAATTAGAATAGGGTTTGGGGGTATATTATACTATATTGATAATAAGGAACCTATATTACATCCCAAACCCTAAACCCCAAACCCTCAACACTGGGAAGCACGTCCTTCCCTCTGCTCAGGCCCCGTGGCTGTGCCGATCCATCCCTCGTCGCAGCGCCAGCCGTAAGAAGTCTTGACCTGGACTATACTGAACTTGGGACCCTGGCCCAAAATGTAATGTTAGCTGTCTCTTCGGGTTCAGGGCTTAGGGCTTAGGGCGTAAAAATGTAATCTTAGCTGTCTTTTAGGGTTCAGGGCTTAGGGCTTAGGGCGAAAAAACTGTAATCTTAGCTGCCTCTTAAGGATTGCTTGGAGGTTCATGGGTAGTTATATATGGGGTTCTAAGTAGGGCAGCTATACTTATAACCCATACTAGGGGACTTCTAACCCCACTTAGAACTACCCATGAACCTCCAAGTATAGTGACCCAAAACTAAACCCTAACCCCCAACCCTAAAACAAGCATTTCCCTAAACCCTAAACCTTAAACCCTAAACCCTAAACCCTAAACCCAATTTCTAAGTACCCCTGAGTGGAGACGGCTTCCCGCTTTGAAGGCTAAGGAGCCTCAGGGACCTCGGGGGGCTCTTTAGAAGCAGCTAGAGGATCTTTGGGGTTTCTCATTTTTTAGGGTTGTTTAGGGTTTAGGGTTTAGGGTTTAGCTTTTAGGGTTTAGGCGGTTCAGGGTTTCGGGTTTAGGCGGTTTTGGGTTTAGGGTTTAGCTTTTAGGTTGAGTTTCAAGGTTTCTTGGGATCTTTTAAGGTTTGGGGGTTCTATGATCGCTGGGGCTCAAGAGTTTCGCGTCTCCGGTACAACAGAACCCAACAGTGTAGGTTAAAACCAACCGGTTCGGGGTTCGTGACCCAATCTTTTGTGCAGGCTTTGGGGGTACAGGTATACAAGCTGATATAAAATCCTAAACGAAGCCTGTTACTAGTAGAATCGTTCGTGCTTGGGTTACACCATCGACATCGCGAGATCAGTCCCGAGATTGCCCAGTTGACCCCCAACCTGAATCCTGATGATATACCCTGGACTCAACAACCCTGTCAACCCTACCGGCCCCTTAGTGAGCGTATAAAGAAGCCCTCATCGAACCCTTTACAAAATCCCATGCAATCCCGATCTAACCATCGTAGACCCTAAACCCTAGCTCCTAAACCCTAAACCCTAAACCCTAAACCCTAAACCCTAGCTGCCGGAAACCCACACAGCCGGGGAACGTAGCCGATAGGGATCGGGAGCGGATCTGGGCAGCCGCTCCTTAAATGCACCGTTGGTGTTCAGGGTTGGGTTTAGGGTTTAGGGTTTAAGGTTTAGGGTTTATGGTTTAGGGTTTAGGGTTTAGGGTTTAAGGTTTAGGGCTTAGGGTTTACAGTAGGCTTTGGAGTTTAGGGTTTAAAGTTGCAGCTTTTAGCTGAGGGATCAGTTGATTTCATGGATCTGTAAAGACGTGATGGGAGACCATCCGCTGTTGCGCACAGGAGCTTAGGAAATGGAGGTGTGTTGGGGGGTTGTGCTGTGGCGCTTTTCTTTTCGCGGTCGCTTCCCATGGGTGCATGGGGGCTTGACCTGGAGGTTCATGGGTAGCTATATATAGTAAGTTAGTTATAAGTAGGGTAACTATACTTGTAACCCATATTGGGGCAATTATAACCCCACTTATAACTACCCATGAACCTCCAAGTATGGGCCCATTGTGCTGCAGTGATTTCAGGACTTAGGATATACCGGGCGCAGGGTCCACGGGAGTTGGATTGAGGCTGTGGGTCCAGCCTCCACATAACTTGCAAACAGGAAACTATAACTAGCACTTAGGGTTTAGAGTTTAGGGTTTAGGGTTCTAGACCGTCCTGTCTTTTCTGACACTTCCGGGGGGGTTCAGCGTTGAAGCCTGGTAGAATCTAGAACTGTAGAGGATTGAACAGAGAGACCTTCAACCCGACCTTCCGAAAACCTTTATCAGCCTAAACCCCTGCCCTAAACTCTAAACCTTAAACCCTGAGCCCTTTATCAGCCACTCCCCGAAATCCAGACTCCTTAAGCCGCCCTCGCTTCACAGAAACCCCAAAACCCCTTTACACCCAAACCCCAGACCCCAAAGCCCTAAAGCCCTAAAACCCTAAAGCCCTGAGCCCCAAACCCTAAACCCTGAACCCTGAATTTTAAACCCTAAACCCTGAACCCCTAAACCCCAAACCCTAATCGTACTCAGGCACCGAGGAGCCCCCTGGACCCCCGCTAAATCCTCAACCCTGAACCCCTATACCTTGAACGTCTTATAAACCCCAAAACCCTGAATCCTAAATCCGAAACCCTAAATTTGCCAATTCATTCGGCTAAACTCTAAACCCCTACTCGCTAAACCCCTAAAGTCCTGTTGAGATCTTAGGAAGATGCGAAGCGTGAGCCGAGCGGCTGCTGCTCGACATTCTTCAGCTCTTCTTTCCTGGGCTTTGAAGTAGCTACCCACAGGCCCCATAGTAGTTCCTTTTTGGGGTTCATATTTAGAATCCTAGAAGGTAATCCCAAGAGGGAACTACTATGGGGCCTATGGCTAGGGAGAAAGAAGCATGAACTTACATCTCATAACGGTTTCTTTGGTGAAGAGGTCCAGAAAACACAAAGAAAGCGCAAAGTAATGAACCCGCCGGCTTCACAAGTTTCAGAGCCCAACCCTTCTAGAACCCTTATAGACCCAAACAAAAAAAGCAACAAGGGTAAATACTACCGGGAGACCTAGATTCAATCCTAACTCCTAAGCAACAGCTTCCCTAAATTAGGCCTAGCCTTAACCGCTGAACCCCTAACCCTAAACCCTAAACTGCTAAACCCGAAAACCCTATAAACCCTAAATGGGGTACTACTGGGAGACCGAGACTCAAAGCCTCGAGCTTGTCGTCGATGGTTTTGCTCTCTTGGCTCTTCCTTTGGACACCTCGAGGGTCGGATTGAGGTTTAAATCATAACTTTAAGGCCCTTATAACTTAAGGCATATTCCTTCATTCCCTTATAGAAACGCCTATAGATCCCTTTACGGGGCCCTTTAAGGTATATTCCTTCATTAACAGGGTTCAACAAGGGCTTGGTGAGGATGTTATACAAGTTCTGTTAGGATCTCTCTCTCGCTCTGTCTCTCTCCCCTCTGTATACATATACATAAGTATAAAAAGATAGACAAACAGATAGACAGATAGGGGCTCTATGAGGAGTCTGCCGAGTTCGGCAAGGGCTCTCCAAGAGTCCTAGACATCAGGGTCTTCGAGGAGGACAGGCTCAAGAACTTTCTACGGTTTACGGAAGTTGTCGCCTGTTCATTCCTGCTGTACGGTTTAGGGTTTAGGGTTTAGGGTCTCGTCGCTATACTCACGGCCCTCATCAACAGATGCTTCCTGCGAAATTGGTGGGTCCTCTGCTGAAGGCACGGTATGTACAAGTGGAGTCCATGCATGCCCCTGTTACACCTTACAAGGCCTGCTTTGTCCTTCTCTCCATCTTCCTTGTCCTCATCTTCACTAAGAAATTGAGCCTCCTTGTGCCGTCCATCCTCTCCCATTCCTTTCGGGGAGCTTGCTGCGGTCCCCTGGTGCATGTCAAGGGTCTTCTGGTTTTGGGCTTTTTGCTTTTCTAGCTCGTCCTTCTTTTCTTCCAACTTTTTCCTCTTTTTCTCGATGGCCTCGTTCCTGAGCTTGCAAGATTCCACGAAGCGGAGGGTCCGAGATTGAGGGACGTTTCGGATACTTCTACATTCATGATGGGTCCACTACCGCGGCCTCAAAACTTAGACTTGTTTCGGCCTGCCCCGTCTACTTGGAGGCCCAGGGGACTTTGTAATTATGTTACAAGTAGAGTTATAAGTACCCTAAATGGAGTTACCCCAATTATAACCCTACTTATAACCGACTTACTAAGTCCCCTGGGCCTCTAAGTAGGGTTCGTTGAGGTGTGCTCCCGAAGATGGTGCTCCTTCTGTTCCGACTGTTACGGCCCTGAACGAGGAGGGGTTCTTCAGGGGTCCACATTATGGTTCCGTTTCCTGATGGACCGATACACAAAAGGAATCAACGGGTCAGCTGGGCCAAGAACTGCTATGGAAGCTTCAAAGAACAATGCACACGAACATAATCCCCCAAGCACTAGGGTTCTTGCTTCAAAAGAATACTTACATTAAGTGTCTCAACCAAGTCCGCCTTTGAGAGACAGCGTTCGGTATATTACCATCACGATACTTCGATGCTGGCGTTTTTTGCCCATGGCTACTGCACCCTCCGCCCTAAAAGCACCCATAGATCATTGATGCCTACAAAAAACCTTCATCTACAAGAACGTATATTGAGGTATATGTTGGCACCTTCCACAATAGTTCATTTCCTGCTAAGCCTCAGATTCCAGGGGACCTATATAATTAACGTAGGGGCCTTAATGATTAGAGTAGGGTTTTGGGGTCCATTATACCATAATTACAATAAGGAACTTCCGAAAAAACTATCCCTAAACCCTAAACCCTAATAAGGCCCCTATATTATATCGAACCCTTACCCGTGAGCTGTTAGAGTCCCCTTAAAAGGAAGCCCTACATGAAGGTAATTATTTCGGTCTTTTCTTTTAACCATGGGATATCTGGGCTGAGGACACTAGTTTTGGAATTCTGGAGGTTGCGAGTTGGAAGAGTAAAGGATGATTAACGTAAGGGCCTGAATAATTAGAATAGGGTTTCATAGGGTTCCTTTACACAGTTCCTTAAAGGGGTTTTCTACGGGCTGCTATAAGGCTTTCGGGCTAAGGGGCCTTCAATCTTAGAATTGTGTTTTGGGCTTCTTTTTTGTATTATCATACTGAGGAACCCGAGCAGTAATACTGGTAGTCATTTAGGTTTCTATATTCTGGGCTTTGAAGTAACCAGGGAGAAAGTATAGACTTGTATTTCATAATGGTTCCTTTAAGGAACAGGTCCCCCAAAAAAGTATTCAAGTATGGTACTCCAAAGCCCAATAAACCCTAAAACCTAAACCCTAAACCCTAAACAGGGGTACCCTTTAAGGGGTACCCCTAATAATACTACCTAAAGTATGGTACTCCCAAGCCCAGATATTAGGTCTTTGGGCCCCCAGATGGAATAACAAGAACTACTATTTTTTGGGGTTTTGTCTTATAGATGTAGGAAACATCAATGCCAAAACCGATTCTAGAAACCTAAACCCTAAACGCTAAACCCTAAACCCTACCCCTTAAGGCCCCTATATTGAGTCATGTCGGACTTGACCCTAAACCCTAAAGCTTAACCCCCTAACACCCCATGGAGGGGCGTTTTGGGGTTTAGGGTTTAGGGGTAGAGCCCTGGCCCTTTCCTGTATCCCCAAACCCTACGAAATAGTAGGTTATGACCCCTTACTTATATGGTCTAGCCCTCAAAACGGTAGGTTTTTGGATACCCAGGTTGCCCTAAACCCTAAACCCTAAACCCCTGAACCCTAAACCCTAAAACCCTAAACCCTAAACCCTAAACCCTAAACCCTAAACCCTAAACCCCTGGGCCTTTGGCCCCTTTTTCCCCATCGATTCCAAGACTCACATCCGAGTCGGCTTCGACACACTCTCTGAAGTAGTCGTAGTACTGGTAGATTTCCTTCTTGGGGGTTTAGGATTTAGGGTTTAGGTAGATTTCCTTCTTGGGGTTTTAGGGTTTAGGGTTTAGGTAGATTTCCTTATCGGGGATTTAGGGTTTAGGGCTTACGTAGATTTCCTTCTTGGGGGTTTAGGGTTTAGGGTTTGGGTTTAGGTAGATTTCGGGGTTTTCCGAAAGTAGGGGACCCTAATATAGCACCCTAAATAGCAGGATCCTTATTATAAGGACCTCAAATAAGGTTGAGTGTTTGGGCCGTAAGATGTCTCAAGCGTATCCAGCAATGCAAATAATGCAAATAAGGTACCCATTACCGAAACCGAAAGGCACACCATCAACGGTTCGCACACACTCGCACACATGCACACATGTATGCATGCGTGTGTGTATACACGCGCATACGTGTGTGTAAACACATTTATTGTACCCCAAACAGTGTTAATAAAACACAGACATATATATATATATATATATTGCTATATATACAGATATATATATATATATATCTGTAAATATATACATACACATAATTATATATTTACACAGCGACATAATCATGTATATATATATATATGCTACTATGCATGTGTGCATGCCTGTGTATATATATATATATATATGTATAGCGATGTCCATATTGACATGTACAAAAGACCCAAGACTGAAGCCACTGACCTCCGCGGCGTAGCCTATCACAGCAGCAACTGCGCAATTCAACTTCCATCAGCAGTTGGTTACACCAAGCTATAGCATTTACCTTGCGCACGAACTCTACCTTTGAAGTCAAGTACAAGTTAGCTGCATTGTCATCTGCAGTTTGGGTTTGACGAAGAAACTGACCACACAGGTCTAGTTTGGCAAGGCTAAGCCCAAAGACCATACTATATCAGGCTTTTGGGCTATTTTGAGCCTTGGGGGTATGGGCAGATGCACAGAACGCAGGAGGGTGTTGATAGGCTACCTTGCCCTAAACTCTAAACCATAATCCCTGACCCCTAGACCAACTTCGGCAACCCTAAACCTCAGAAGCCCAAAACAACCCCAACCTCCAAAACCACCCCCAAAGTCGTATGCCTACATCCGCAGACCCAAACCCAAAACCCAATACCGTCAACCCAACACCCAAAACCCCAAGACCCTAAAGCAAAAATCCTAGGCCCACCTTTGCCTAGATCTTGCGACCTGATCCCCTAAACCCTAAACCCTAAACCCTAAACCCTAAACCCTAAACCCTAAACCCCTCCGAACGGCTTCAAGGGACCATGGAGCTCCAGGCGCTTCGTCGCTGAAGCTTCTGCAACAGTTAACATGCATTGCAAAAAAAGGGGGCTTAATAACTCGAAAAGCATGTTGAGGGCTTCTTTTTTTAATTTCAAAAACATATACCCCCAAACCCTATTCTAAGAAATAAGGCCCCTATCGTAGGGTGAAATTCCTCCGGCCAAGGTGCTGAGTTGCAGTCAGTGTTCGCCAGCTTGTCCAGTTCCTTCTCATCCATAAGCCGTTTCGGATGAGCGAAACCTGCCAGGATCGCTGGGGGCTGCATAAACCCTAAATCCTAGACCCTAAACCCTAAACCCTTTGGCCTGGGGTATCGGCTTTTGGGCTTCGTGGTTTTTGTATTTCGGGTGTTTTTTTTCGTTTGGGGCTTTCCGGTTTGGAGAGGTGGGCTGTGGGACACCTGTTGACCCTAAACCTCAAGCCCTAAACCCTAAAACCTGAAGCCTTAAGCCTACAGCAGCGCCCTGTATTCCCTGAGGCTCAAAATCGCCCACATTCCTTACAAAGTATGGTCTTTGGGCCCAAAA